GATTTAAACACACCTCTCATTTGCCCTTTTATCTTCTTAAGGCATTTGTATCTTCTCTCTTTAATATTATTTCACTTATAATTTTGGAGTGGAATAAAATATTGATTGTGTCCGAGGAAGTAGGCAAAATTGACCGAACCTCGTAAATTCTGGTGTTCTTTTATTGTTGTCTTATTGTCTTATTTATTATTTAGTGGTTGTCATAATTTTTGGTATAGTAGTTGTGACTCATTCACACTATATACATTTGGCTTCCGCAACAAGTAAGACTCAAATTCAGGACCCTTGTCTGCTCTGTTAGTATGTTGAAGTGTATGAGCATCTCATCTAAAAGCTTAAACTTTAGAAAGAGCACACTCTTATTTACTTAATTACGTCTTCGACACGCACATGAAACTTTGTAATACAACTTCTTGTTAGATGCATTTTCTTTTTCATTATTGTCTCTTGCTGAAGAAAACTCAAAAGTAAACAAAATTAGGTATAGAAATGTTACTGAATGCTACTTCTTTAAATATCTTTGTAGCATTTGAAAGAGGAGGTTGCTACTATGAGTAGGAAGCTGGAGCTTCTTGAAAACTCTAAAAGGTCTCTTTTCTACTACTTCCCAATGCTGCATTATTATAATTTTAAGCTAAGCAATAATATAACCTCATCCTTGTATTACAAGTTGCGTAATAAATTGGCATATGATTCTGAAATATTAGTTTGCTGTGTTTTTCTTGTTTCTTGCAGAAGGATTTTAGGAGAAGATTTAGATACTTGTTCCATTGATGAACTTGAAAAGGTAGAAGAACAGTTAGACCGAAGTTTAAGAAACATTAGGGCAAGAAAGGTACAATATTATATATCATTATATTGTCGTATTTATTTTTGTTGCTTTTGTAGTTATTATTTATATTGCTCGGTACCACACGCATATCTTATCCTTTAAAAATGCGTTACTTTTGAACGATCCCGACTTTTGAATAATGTTTTGCCATCTTCTTCTGTTTTGCTCCAGAACCAGCTATTGAGGGAACAGATTGCTCTTCTAAATGACGAGGTAAATGCATTAAAACATACTTTATTATATCTATAAAATCTGTTTTTATTTATTCTGTTTACATATCAATTCAGTTCAAAATAACTGTGAGATCATTCACGTAATAATTGCTTCAGAATTTCCTTATTCTCTTGTCCCAGGAAAAAGTCCTAATGGAGAAAAATGCAGAATTGCGGAAAAAGGTGAGTTACTACTTGAATTTCAACGCCCTTAACATACATACGTGTTATTTCATTGGTTCAATTTGTTTAACATAATTTGACTCGACACGAAGTTTAAAAAATATTTTTTTTAAAACTTGTGATTTTTAACATATCATAATCAACAGTTATATGGCTACAAGACTTAACAGAACTACTTGTGATCTTAAACATCCTATGTCATTTATCCGACTATAAAAGTTTCTCATTGAGAAAATATGGAGATGTATTAGTTTTTTAGATGGACTAATAAGAAATTTGGTACCCAAATAAAATGAAACGGAACATGTGTTTTTTAAAATGTATGTTAATGTATTTATGGTCTAGCTCAGATTAGCAACCCATGAAGTTAACAAGTCCGATATTTGGTCCAAAATGCGACCATATATACAGAGAAATGCACAAGTAAGGTGATTCTGGTTTTGATTCTCGAACGCTGGCTTAGCTATGAAACCAACAGAACCTTAACGGAAGTTAACCTTTAATTTGTTGCCTCCATTATGCTTACCAAATAGATTTTACTTGTATACACTCGCCGTCTAAAAATTTTTATACCGTCAGTATAATTTATCTTATTGCAATAGGTTACATTCAAACTCTTTATCAAACACATTCAAACTCGGCACGAGTTAGCACTGTTAGAAATTTGGGGAGACTTTCAATCACTCATTTTCTTTTGAAGACAAGTGGAAGAAAGTTTTCAACTTGACTTACAAAAAAACACTATATATTTATAGTGTCAAAGTATTTATAGGACTTCTTTTAGCATGCATGTGCCTAGTCTAGCACATATACCTTAATTTTATTTTAAACTTTTCTTCTTCCCCACTTCATGATTAAAACCAAACATATATCTTAGTATTAGTTTCCTAATACATGAAACTAAGAAAATTCATGTACTACTTGGAATGAACCTAGTTCATTTTTCCATCAAGAAAAGCTCAATGCCTTGAATCATTTTCGAAAATAGTTAGGACTTTGATAGAACTGTTACAACTTACAACTTGTGAAGTATTGCACCTTCTTTTGTTGGTGGAACCAACACAATTTGTGCAAGTATCTTCACGGATTTTTTTTTTTTTTTTTTTTTTTTTTTTTTTGGTTTCCCACTTGGAGTCTGATGCCCTCATAGCTAGAGGTCCAGATTTATTTGGATTCGCTCCATGGTAAGTTCCTAAAAGGGGTAGCGCCCCTGCCAGAATTTTGTTCATTTCCAGAGTTTAAACCCGAGACATTTGGTCAGGTGGTGAAATCCTATACATCTCACACTCGTGTCTTCATGGAGTTTGCAGTTTGTATTGTAAAATGTTCTATTTAGTAGTGTTCACTTGTCTCCATTTTTTCATGAGTACTATTTCAATGCTATTTAACAAAAGCTAAATATTCTCTATTTTTCAGTATGAGGTCCGACCGCTGCCTTTATTTATTGATCGACAAGAAGAGGAACATCTTCAGAGACAGACAATGGATGTCGAGACACATCTATTTATTGGACCTCCAGAAAGACGAAGTTCCCACTAATTTAATTACCAATTCTCTGCTAAGAAAGTTCCATAGCTTCGACCATTTGCAACTGTAATTTTATTGAGTTGATGAATAAAGCAAAAAAAGAAAAAAGAAGAAACAAAGAACCAAATTGGCATAGGTTTTTTCCCCTATTTTTCAGGAGTACTTATAATCTAAATGGAGTGTTAAAAACAATTTCGTGTGTTACATTGTAAGGTGTTGGATGTATATTGGTTGTTGCACTTGTATAGTATCATTTTCTGTGTTAAAATACTCCATATATCAATATTCAATATGTGGTCATTTTGAAAACTGATTTTGTCCTTTTCATTTCATTTCCCCTTTCTCGAGTTAAGTCTATTCCACACGACATTTTTGGGGGAAGTGCACAGGATTAGATATGTCTTTTACTTTTTAGCCATTGCTTGAAATGTATTTACTCTTTAGTCAGTGCTTAATAAATTTTTATTCATCGGACAAAAATACTCCTGTGCTAGACATAGGTGTTGTATAAATATTAAGGACATGGTGTCCTTAACTTCATGAATGTTGTGTAAATATATAGGATAAAGTGTCCTTTCTGCTGTTAAACTTTAGGACATCATGTCCTTAACTTCATATGTGCAGTGTAAATGTTAAGGACATGGTGTCCTTAACTTCATGTGTTCATTGTAAATGTTAAGGACATAATGTCCTTAACTTCATGAGTGATGTGTAAATATTAAGGACAAAGTGTCCTATATTTGCACCTTCTGCTGATAAACTTTAGGACATCATGTCATTAACTTCATATGTGCAGTGTAAATATGTGTAATGTAAATGTTAAAGACATAATATCATTAACTTGTATTTGCAACTTCTGTTGTTAAACTTTAGGACATCATGTCCTTAACTTCATATGTATAGTGTAAATGTTAAAGACATGGTGTCCTTAACTTCATGAGTGATGTATAAATATTAAGGGCATGATGTCCTTAACTTCATATGTACAGTGTAAATATTAAGGACATGGTGTCCTTAACTTCATGTGTGCAATATAAATGTTAAGGACATAGTGTCCTTAACTTCATGAGTGATGTATATATATTAAGGGCATGATGTCCTTAACTTCATATGTATAGTGTAAATGTTAAAGACATGGTGTCCTTAACTTCATGTGTGCAATATAAATGTTAAGGACATAGTGTCCTTAACTTCATGAGTGATGTATATATATTAAGGGCATGATGTCCTTAACTTCATATGTATAGTGTAAATGTTAAAGACATGGTGTCCTTAACTTCATGTGTGCAATGTAAATGTTAAGGACATAATATCATTAACTTGTATTTGCAACTTCTGTTGTTAAACTTTAGGACATCATGTCCTTAACTTCATATGTGCATTGTAAATGTTAAGGACATGGTGTCCTTAACTTCTTGTGTGCAATGCAAATGTTAAGGACATAGTGTCCTTAATATTTTACACATCACTCATGAAGTTAAGGACACCATGTCCTTAATATTTTACACATCACTCATGAAGTTAAGGACACCATGTCCTTAATATTTTACACATTACTCATGAAGTTAAGGACATCATGTCCTTAATATTTACACATCACTCATGAAGAAAGGGTAAAAAAGACTTTTCGTATCAATTTTAATATAGTAGTGACTATTTTTGCTCAACATTAAAAATACTGGCTAAAAAGTAAATACCACTTAAAAAAATGGCTATACCACGCCATTCCTACAACATTTTTGGACACTAAACCTGAGATATTTTCTGGAGGATTTGTGTCCAACTAAGTTTCAGGTTGACAACACGCAAAGTGTTTTATGTAATTTATTACTCCACTGACTTTTGGATTTTGGTTACTATTTAGAATATTTCATTTAATTCAGATTCAGATCCCTTGCAACATTATTAAAGTAGAATATATGTTGTTGTTTGGTCGGAAAATGGTGTATTTCTTCTTTCTTTCTTTTTTTTTTTTGCGGAAAACAAGCATTGCCTACACTGCAGTATATGTATAATCACTTTTATTTTTGGTAATGTAGATTTTATCCTATTTTACATTTTTACAGAAAAAAAAGGTTAATTATCTGACCTCATGTATTATCCAATAAAATAAAATGCCAAATAGTTTAAATATAGATGGCTGTTTTCAGGGTCAAATTGATACCTTCGATCGGTTTGAGAAAAAAGAAACCCTAAATCTGATTCAGTCCCATCCTCCAATTTTCTCTATATTTTGGCTTTGCAATAAGCATAAAAATCTTTCTCACTTGAATAGGAACCTCTCACTCCATCACACAAAATGGTGAGTGATTTGCATAAATAATATTATTTGGTGCTACCCTCTAAATTTTGATTATGTTCAGAAAAAAATTGGGAAATAGCGCGCATCATAATTTCATATTTAATATGAGACAAGTCTTGTGGTGAATCGTTAGAATTTCTGACAAATCATCATAATTAGCCACAAAATTCTGACGATTGAAATAATTGTTGTGCAAAAAAGCATGACAAATCGTATAATTATATTGGCCACAAAATTATGACGGTACCACCAATGGTATTTTTCAATTTTCTCCGGCTAAACCAATTCAAATCATTAAGGATAAACAATATAAGTTCAAACCACAAATAAGTAATGAATCTTTAATTTTCCATACCACAAATTTCATTATTTTGTAATTTTGGTTGTGTACTTACAATTTATTGGAAGAAGAAGAAGAAGAGAAAAAGGGAAAAGGAGAAGGAGGAGGAGAAGAAAGCTATGACGGATCAAGTTGAAAGAGCTAAGATTTTGTTACCAGCGTCAAAATTTAAATAAGTGTCCTTAAAGTGTCCACCCCATATACATTCTTGCAACATGACGGCGAATTTAAAATTAGAAAAATTATATATTATAACAATAGCCCGCGAATGTATACTTTTTTTAAAATATTAATGTATACGATACATATATATATAATTTTTTATATATTTAGCTAGCGGTTATAATAATTTTGGGCCTACCGAAGCCGTGTTGACTTTAAAGTTGAGTTTATTGCAAATATTTATGTTTGTTATGAAATATTATATTATGTAGTGGATGTCTATAACTACTATTAAAGTTACTCTCACTACTCTTTTTCAACACCTCCGTAATCTTTCCCGTGATCTCAATAGTTAATATCATGTTTATGACATGCATTTGTATTACCTAAATATCATCATGTGAATAGAGGGTTTGGGCATTACATTGTACACACTTGAATACATGAAAAAAATAAGAATCTCCTATCTCTTGCTCTCTACATTTTTGTCTATTTTCTTATTTTATATTATTACTTTGAGTTAAGTTTCTTAACAATGCATGCTACTTTCAAATTTTATAAATTTGGAGTCGAGCCCTAATTAAGCATAGGAGCTTTTCACTCATCTTCGTTATCCTACTGCGAGCGAATCCGGTTTAATCTGAGCAGAGTGTGTTGGATGCCAAATAGTTAAATCGAAAAGAAACAAAATTTAATTTTAAAAAAGTCCCCACTGCCAGCTTAAATGATTTACCTCACATTTATGCACCCAAAATTAAGTTAGGTTTTATTGGATTAATTAATTAATTTATTATTTTATTTTAAGAAGGTTTGGAACTTATGCCTCGTAATTTTTGTGTCATCTATTGCACATCTTAAATTATCTGTCATGATTTTTTAAAATAGTTGTCTTAAATTATTTATCGTTTTAAAAGTTCAAGACAAATAAATAAAAAAAAATTCTATTTTACCTTTAATAGTAATTATTCTTGAAAATAGAGATAGTACATAAATAGAGTAAATATTCAATGAAAAAAGATCATATCTTAAAATATAAATAAGGGAAAAATAATTTAAAATCCCTCATAAATAATATTTTTTAAGAGGCGTGTAAAAGAGAAACACAACAGATAATTTTGAGACGGAGGAAGTACCAACATGATTAAAAAAATTGCAAATCCATCTATTTGTGTTATCATTGTAATAGTAAAGATTTGAGATAATACTTAAGGTCAACTACATCTTGTATACGGTCGAAACTGATTTCGACCTTCGTGCGTCTGATCGAGATGGGAACACAATGGACCGAAGAAAGTCTTTATAATATCGAGATAGGATCCGAAGAAGGCACAAACGAGCTTCAAGTTTTAGGAACAGGTCAAATACCGAGCTCGAAGTCATTATCGAGCTCGGGTCCTCATCGAACTATGATGAGATGTGATGGAATCGAACTTAAGGGCCAGAGGCCAACCAATACCGAACCCAAGTCATTACCGGACCCCGAGTCGGCCTCAAGCTCAAACCCGCATCAAGCTCTAAAACTTGAAACCGACCAATGCTGAGTCCGATCAAGATCGAGCTTATAGACAAGAGTCGTTGCAGCCGCATTAAGGGAGAGAATCTCGGCGGGAATTAGAAAAAAGCTTATTTATCATGGGTTCCCCACTATGTATTTTTAATTATATCTAAAGTAGGATCCCCCAACTATAAAGGGGATGACTATATTTCTATAAAGCATCAAGTTTTGCATACATTGTAACTGAAATATCATATACTCCCATATTAAAGAGTTATTATTTTTTAAGCTTCATAGATTGATTCATCTTGCTTAATCCATAAATCATCCCCTTTTCAACTTTGCTTATTTTTCTTTCTCTACAGTCAGCATTCGATATTTCTATTTACTCTTACAATTTGTATCAAGTTATACCACATACCCTTAGAACTACGTACAAATTCAACTCAATTCGTTTTTCAGACAAACAGTTTGGCGTCCACCGTGGGGCTAAGGATAATAGTGGTTATTTGATACGAATCTGCAAAAATACACCATTTTATGCTTGTTTTCGGTAGTATCTTTGATTTCGGATTAGCAACGACGAGTTCTCAATTAAATGGCCTTACCTATCAACAACGAAGCTAGCCTTCAAGGTGAGAACAGCAACTCGACACCCAGGGCCGAAGGGCCACTTATCGACGTCGTTGGAGTTCAAGTCGAAGTACCATTAGACGTTAATTCGCATATGGCCATTGAGACAAATGTTGAAATGTTGCAAGCTTAACAGGTAGCGATAGCTCAGTTGCAGAGTCAAACCCAGGTGCTGAGCAGGCCGGAGCCCAGTCCACCCCGAGAAGTCACCCACAGAACGAAACCAGCTATAGTAAGGTCAAATGAGCAAGAGTCGGGGACTAATCCCAAAATTGCTTAGATATTCGAAGAACTGATTAATCGAATAGAATCAGGAGAAAGGAGTATCGAGGCAAAAGACAAAAATGTAGAAGCATATAACTCCAGGGTTGATCAGA